TTAATTAAAACTGTGAATAATAAATACATGATAAAGTATTTTAACTACTTCCTTTGTATTCTTTGAAATATGGTTTCTAAAGTTAGCATGCGCCTTCCATTAACATTCTTCTGAAGCCAGGTATCTCTTCAAATCTGTTTTTCCTATTACATTGCTAATGGTTTCATCATAATTGACTTTACACATGAGCTATGATGTTATATATGTACGAATATCCATAACACACACAGAGAAAATAAAGTAAAAATATTTTCTGATTTTCATACTGTCTTTAAAGGATTTAAGTAGTTTGAGGCATAGTGTTTTGAGGAATAGTGTTTACAATAACTTTTTTTTAATGGGCAGAACACACATTTTTGCTAATCATCTTGGAAACCTTCAATAAATTTCTGCCTTTAGGTCATGTATGTAAAACACAGAGGGAAAAAAGAGAGAGAGAGAGAGCTGAGCCTGCTTGGGGCTACTAGGAAGAAAGCCCCTATTAAGGGTTTTGGTCCAGGAGCATCAGAGGGATTAAATGGGAAGTGGGCCAAGCACCAAGTACTGTTTCCTCAGAAGGAAAGCAACAAGAACACGTTTTGAGGACAGAGCAGAGCCCCCTTCTTGTGCAAGAGAGATTTTGTAATGATATCTGAAGCTCATCGAGCTTTTGACACAAGCCATTTTCTTCATTTTACAATTGTCCCTTGTCAGCATTAGTCACTGACTCTTTCATAGAAGTGAGCCAACCTAGTTCTCTAGCTTTCATTATCTATCAGGAGTTTAAATCTCTTCCTGCATTATTACATTAGTGTTTTACTATAATCAAGCAGTGTGGGCACCCATGCATGCTACAGGAAAGAACCAAAATTAAGAATAACAAAGATGAGAAAGGGAAATAATTCATATAGGTGGTGAGTAGTCATCAAAGAGCAAGGGGGCAAAAGATGCATCCCCAAGTGGACACAATCCAGGGAAATAAGTGGAAAGTGATAAGAGGCAAAAGCTGTCCAGAGGGTTCAGAGAGGCTGGTGAAGATACTGAGAGAGAGAGGCATTATTTTCATTATATCTGCTCCACGAGGAGTAATTCAGCCCCTACTACTAACAAGCACTGCAGTGAGACCCGGTGGAGTTTCCGTTATGGGAAGCAACACAGACGAGCATGAAGGTAACTGAAATATAATATAATGATGTTCGCATTGAGACGTACAGAGAGATACCTGAGCACACAGAAAGGGCACATACTCAGCCCTCGGGCTGCAGGAACAGCCCCCGGAGAAGGTGAAGACTAAGCTGAGTCCTAAGAGATGAAAGGACTTAGCCAGTCGAAGGGAGGTTGTGAGAGAAGTGTTCCAGGAAGAAAGAAAAGTGTGGGCACAGGTAGGAAAGAGTTACATGTGGATCAAGGAACTAGAGGCTCACATGCCCAGGCATTAAGTGCAGGACAGGAAAGGTGGCAAGAAATGGAACTGCTCTGGTGGACAGTGGCCAGATCACAAAGGGCCATGCAGGCCATGATGAGAAATTGGGATTTGTATTCCATGAGCAATGAGAATCTTTAAAAAGTTTTAAGAGAATTGGGAACTGATCAAGCTTGCAGTTTAGAAAGATCCACCTGGCTGTATGATGGCCTATTAATGAGAGGGTTCAAGGCTGAGAGCAAGGCGGCCAGGTAGGGGACTGTTCCCATCATTCTAGTGACAGAGAGACTCTGCTGGTCTGAGAGAAAACAGGGAACATTTGAGAAATAAAAGGAAACAGAATTATCTGGACTTCGAGACTGACCAGGGAAGGGACAGGGAAGGAACCTGATATAATCCCAGGAGCCTCCAGGAGGACAGTGATGCCATTTCCTAAACTAGTTCGCTCTGAGGTGGGCTGGGGACATAGCGCGTGATTAGCCCCCGAGCTGGTCTCCCTACTCAATGTCTCAACGGCCCACGAGACACTTTCCACGTGGCCTCCAAGTGAAGAGTTCAAAAGCACAAATGTGCTCATGTTACTTGTTTACTTAGAAAATGTTTACTGTTTTAGAAGTCCCCATTGTGGTAGGGGTAAGGGGCGAGCCTGAAAAAAAAAGAACTGACCTACAGACCATGTGGTCAAGTTGATGGTGCCATTCCTTGGGTCTGGAATAAGACAAAAGAGTCCACCTGGAGACAGCCTTAGATACAGAGCCCATGTCAACACTACAAATCCAAGAGCCAGAAACAACCCATTGAAACAGCCTGGGGGAAAGAGATAGAGAGGAGTTGGAGAACACCAAAATGTCAGACAATGTTAAGACAATTGTTACAACAATGTCAAATAAACAAGACTTGGAACAAGGAAAGGGCAAGAAAGGAAACTCCAGAGCAATTACCATAGAGTGGGTGTCCCCCTCCTAGTTTCTGTGCGTGTGGATCATGGGTGGATCATGGAGACACGCAGGCCAGGGAACAGACCTCATCTCCAAGGTAAATCCCAAACTCCTTAGTGCAGCATACGAGGCAACTGGCAATCTATACAACCTTGCCGTCCTCTCCAATTTCATTCCATAAATCTTAGCCAACTAGGTATGTCTGGAAGTCCCCAAATGATGTGTCTCGTGTGCCTTTGCACAAGTGTCACCTGGTAACTACTCAACTAACTTCATCTTTCGGGCAAAGCTTGAAGACCTCCTCACCCCTGCGCCAGCACTTTGGGCCGTGCTCTCAGGGCTGCCTGTACTTTAAAATCACACCGTGTTTCACACTATTTTGTAAATGTAATTTTACTCATTCACATTCTCCACAAGCCACCCTGAGGGCAAAGACTGCGACTTCCTGCTTTTGTATCCCTCGTTCCTTAGCATGGTGTATGTATACTTAATAAACGTTAAACGTTTGTTGGATGAATGTTTATAGTATATACACACAGACTTAAAACAGATCATCAAAATCAAATAATGCATGGCGCCCTTCTCTTTTTGCACAGAAAAGGAAAATTGGTAATACTAGCAATTGGATAGCTCCCTTCCCCACCAAAAACTAGTAAACCTGATTATGATAATGCCATGTAACATTTTCCAGTCGACCCAGTGCTTTTACACACGATATCTTAAACGTGAAGGGAGAATTAGGAAAGCTCTGAAGACACCAAATAACCACAGCACTATTGATCTGGGTCAGGGAACTCTGAAGCTAAAATTAAAAATCAACAGTCTACCCCCAACCCATGCTGGCTGGCGCTGAATAATATTTGAGAGAAAGGCCTTAGGACTCTCCAGTGACTCTGGATGATCTCAAGGGGAAACAGTATATTGAGCCTCTTGTATCCCTACCACGTCATGAAATTCCCGGGATACCCAGCATTGCTTGACTCAGGCCAAATGCATCTCCTCGGTAATCTAGAACAGAAGACATCCTTCCTGGGAAAGGCGAATTCCACATAGCATCCTTTAACTATGCAAAGTGCAAGGGTACTTAGTGATTTCTATTCCCTGTTTAAAGATCTCTCAGTCTAAATAATCTCCCTAAATTTCGTTTCTTTCAGTTTCTTCAGGGGGATGCTTTTTTATTTTGAATAAGTACTACAAAAATATTTGTAACTTTCTGTTATATCGCTTCAATGGTTGATAAGCCCAATTCACGTCAATTCGTGTGGCATAAATATTTTTAGTCCTCATTTTTAAACTATGATAGATTTATAACATTTCAAACCTACTCTCATAAAATACAGCAATTTGAAGAAAATGGAAATGAGAATTCACAAAATTTGATATCAATTCTAAACAGCCTTATGTGGAAAATAAATTTTATAATATTCAGAAACTTTAGGAATTATTTCTTTTAAGTAATAAACATTCATGTACTTACTTATATTTTAGTTTTACAGAATTTCCAGGTTTCCCCCATGGAAGAACCACAAAATCTTTGGTGTTCATGATTACTGTCCTAGTATTGTCTAAAAATTACTGTGACTTGTGAAAACTTCTGAAAAAATAACAAAGACAAAAGAATTATGTCAGAGGTAAAGTAGTTAAGTTACAAATTTGAAACTACGTATAACTTAGGAAAATTTTAAAACCAGAAGTCATTATGAGGGAAAAAGGCCAAATCAAAGGTTAAGCAACAAAAAATTACTGTATATGCTCAGTAAGTTATACAAATATTTATATGCTAATATACAACTTACATGTACATGTATATACTTAATACAACTATAACATATCTGATGGAATTAAAATTTTACCAATAATTATATAGCAAGAGACTGTGGAAACATTCAACTGAAAGTGAAGAATGAATTCATTGAGACAAATAGAGCACACATTTTGGTTCTTTCTATGGTTAAGATTATAAAAATGTGTATTAGGTATTTGTTCCCATCCAAAAATAATATCCAAGGCTAAATATAGTAAGAAAAAAAACAAAGAGATATAATCCAAACTCAAAATCTGTTTTTTCATATACGGTAATGTAAAATGAGAATTAAAGTATGTAATAATTACCCAGAGGCATCTTAATATCCTCATTTATCAGAGAAAATTTTAATGATGCTCTTTGCCTAAGATTAGAAATTAGCATATTTAGAAATAATTTTTCAACAAGAAATGAAACAAAAAAGTTTTTTGCCTAACTCCAAGTTAATCAGAAAATTAAATTATTCAGAACACCCTATTTCCCAAGTATCCCAATTACTCATAGTTCCATAATAATTTACTCTGTAATGCTGAATTACTGAATCACATGTACAAGTATTAGATTTTTACACGAAGAAAAATTCCCAAACTGCAAACACTCATAAAGAAACATGAGGCAATATCA